GATAAGAGACATGACCTCATTGCTGTCCCCACCTGACTGGGGCCTGTATCCTGAACTTGCAACCATGGTGGAGACGAGGGGCACTTCTGCAGAGAATGCTTAAGGGGGGACAGCCCCGGAGACCCCCAACTGGGACCCTGCCCTCTCTGCAAAGGTAACCACTGGAGGTCTAAGTGCCCCGTCTCCAGATGGAAGGCGAGGTGCCACTTCCCATGGATTGATGGCCTCCTGTCCACGCTCCACTTCTTGGAGCCTTAGGGTAGTCATAGTGGTAGAAAAGCTAAAGGTCATTTTCCTCCTATACAGTGGAGCCCATTTCTCTGTCTTATCTTTCTCTCCCGGTCCCCCCTCCAATGACTAGGTTATCATTCAGGACAAATCTGGTAAGCCCCTAGAGCGCTAGTTTACCAGGCCTCTGGCCTGCTCTTGGGGAGACCTCCTTTTCTGTCACCCTTTCCTCATAGTACCTAAAACTCCAATGTCCCTGCTGGGACAAGATTTACTATCTCAACTAAAACTCAAATTCTCCTTCCCCAGGCAGCTTTTTCTGCTGCCCCCTCCTTCACAAACAAATAGGTCCTACAATGTAAACTGATAAAATGAGTGTAGGGCGAGCCTTGATGGCCCTCCCTATTCAAATAAAACTCAAAAATCCCTCACAATTTCCACACCCAAAACAATATACCCTCAAGCCTGAGGGAAGATGAGGTCTTTTGCCTATCATAAATTCCTTAAAAACAAAGACTACTAATTAGTTACTTCAGCTCCTATAATAAACTTAAAATTCTTATAAAAAATAATTTTAAAATACAAGTTACAAAATAAACAACTAAAGGAGATATAAATCGGTAATGAATGTATTTTTTAAGAAGTTAAAAAATTGTTTTTAGATAAAAAAGGATTTTATAAAGAAGGGTTTGTCCTAAATATTGTTTCAAATAGGAGAGATAAAGGCAAGCCATCAAAGGGCTTAATATGTTATATAAAGGTCTGAGTAAGTTTTAAAAGTATATAATAAAAAACTTCAATATATAATAAAGTTAAAGTTAAATATAATCTAAGAGTTACCTAAAATATTTTCAGGGTCATGTCAAACTAAAATCAAATTCTCTATGTCTATAAAATAACAAGGTTATCTTAACATTGTTCTACTCTGAGTAGCAACTACAAAAGACCGTTATAGAAATAGACTTTATCAAAAAAATTATTTGTGTTTTCTGTGGATCTTGTCAAACTTTAAGAACTACTAAATCAGAGTTCATTTATATATTTGCTCATGCAACAGTCTCTTAAATGACCACCTTATAACTGTGTTCAATATCTAGACTTTATCTAAATATGGTACAAACATTTACAGAGTTAAAAGTGTCAGTTTATGTAAAATGATGAGCTAAATCTTTCTTTTATCCAAAAGTGTTCCATTTAACCTGCATCCTGACAGTCAGCCTCTATTTGCCTTTAAAGGTCCCACAAACACTTCATAACAACTGACCTGGTCAGTCTTGCCACAAGAATTTAAAGACAGCCCTCATCTTTGTGGACAGGCCCTAACCAGAGGCTTATTAGATGACACTACCCAGAGGCCACCCTTCTTCAATGCAGAGCCACAGAGCCCTTTATCTGCAATGCAACTGAGTCCCTTTTAAAACTTTCTGGCCTCCAGGAATACAAAGTCTCTAAGGAGAAGGCTTAGTTATGTCTCCCTCAGGTCACCTACCTAGGTGTATTCTTAAAAGGATAGACTCACTCCCTGAGTCATGAGTAAATCAACCCAATCCTCCATTTCCCACTTCCATACCATAAAAACGGCTTAGAGCTTTCCTGGGAGTTATAGGATTTTACAAAATTTAGATCCCTAGGTATGCAGTCCCTTAGCAAGACACCTTTTATGCTCCTCCTAATATTCCTATTTGGGTCTTAAATAATATATGGCCACCCATTTCTCTTAGAAAACTTGCCTCCAACAGACTCTGCTCCTCTGGCTAACTACCTGCCTTATCTTAATCTTCTCAGGAAACTTCTCAAAGAGCATACAGACCAGATCCTGCCCCACCCTATAACAATTTCTGTTAAACCAGGAGATCTTTTTCTCCTGAAAGATCTTCTACTCTCTCCACTGGGACTTCAATGGACCAGCCCTCATCTGGTCATTCTTATGACACCCACTGCCATCAGGCTCAATGGATCCCCCAGTGGCAGCACCTCTTAAGGAATGGACTCTTAAAACCCTCTAGGGAACATTTTACAGTGGTTCTCCTGGCTAATGCCCATCCTAATGCCTATATTTCTTGCTCTACTATTCTTAAGCTTCCTCCTTTGTATCATTCTACATGTCTGTTCCTGCTAATCAAAAATTTAACCAGTTGTACCTCCAGGAATATCAACCTCTCCAAAACCACCTGGAAAAACTACTGTGAAGGCCCCATCCGGGATGCCACAGAGCCTGAGGATCCTGCCCCATACAAAGCCTCCTGCCAGCAGGAAGCAGCTAGAGAGACCAATGCTTCACCCCAATTCCTGATCCTCAGCCCCTACCTTCATCATTATTAAACAAAAAATGGGGGAATGATGGGAACTGCCTCTTCTGCAGCCTAAGCCGCATGTGGTTTCACCCCTTGCAGAACAAAGCCCCCTGTTCCTTTTCTCCCGCCACCTTCCTTTGCCCACCTCTAGACCTTGCTTCTCCCAAATGCTACTTAAGGCCAGACCCGCCGAGAGAAGCGCTGCCCCATTTTTCTTTTCCTTTTCTTGGCCAGCCAGCCTGCTTATTAAATTTTTGGACATGAGATAACTCTCATGAGCCTCCTTTGTGTGCAACGTGTGGCATTTTCCTAACAGGAGCGAGCTTTCTCTCTCGCTCCTGATTGTTATTGAACCTAACTGGGGTTAACTGGGGGTGACTGGAGATTTAGAAAAGGCACAGGATAGACAGTGGGGTCAAGTGTGCTGAGTGCTCAGGTGGAGACGCCCAACCCTAATGCTTCTTTTCTCTTTTATTCTTTAAAACCTTACTCCCTACAGCTCTTTAAAACCTTGCTTCTAAAGTCTTCTGTAAAACCTTGCTTAAAACCTCTTTCCTGAGACTCGCTTGTCCCATGTTTTCTTTTAGCTTAATCGCTCTTAACGTCTTTGCCCCAGGCTTGAAGCTTTTCTTCAGCATTCTCTCTTTTGCTTTCTTAAAGCCTCGGTGCTCAGACTTGCCAAGTCTCTGGTCCTCTATCTTGCACTGTCCCATGTTCTCTTTGGCTTTTCTCTAGCTTCTAAAGCCTATGTTAAAGTTCTTTCTTTGGCTTTCTTCTCTAGGGCCTATGTTAGAGCTCTCAGTGCAGACTTCTATCAACCCCTCTTTTCCCTTCAGCAATTTCCCTTTAACAATTCTTTTCCCTTCTGTAATTCTTTTCCCTTCCAAAAGCTTCCCACACCAAAAAGCCCAAAGCCAAAGCCCAAAACACCCCAAGCCCCAAAAGCCCTCCAAACCAAAAGCCAAAGGCAAAAAGCAAAAAGCCCCCAGCTCTCCTTCAGCAGGCCTTTTATAAACCGCAGTAAACAGGGTGGAGCAGAGGCTCTCGAGGAGGGGTGTGACATTGTAACAGGAGAAACCTGTGTTCCTGCTTCTCTGAAAAAGCAGCTGTTCTCATGAAAAAATGCTCACCATCTCTAGCAATAAAGGAAATGCAAATTAAAACCACACTAAGATTCCACCTCACCCCTGTTAGAATAGCCATCATCAGCAACACCACCAACAACAGGTGTTGGCGAGGATGCGGGGGAATAATAGCCAAGTTATGGAAACAGCCAAGATGCCCCAGCACTGACGAATGGATTAAGAAAATGTGGTATCTATACACAATGGAATTTTATGCAGCCATGAAGAAGAACGAAATGTTATCATTCGCTGGTAAATGGATGGAATTGGAGAACATCATTCTGAGTGAGGTTAGCCTGGCCCAAAAGACCAAAAATCGTATGTTCTCCCTCATATGTGGACATTAGATCAAGGGCAAACACAACAAGGGGATTGGACTTTGAGCACATGATAAAAGCGAGTGCACACAAGGGAGGGGTGAGGATAGGTAAGACACCTAAAAAACTAGCTAGCATTTGTTGCCCTTAATGCAGAGAAACTAAAGCAGATACCTTAAAGCAACTGAGGCCAATAGGAAAAGGGGACCAGGAACTAGAGAAAAGGTTAGATCAAAAAGAATTAACCTAGAAGGTAACACCCATGCACAGGAAATCAATGTGAGTCAATGCCCTGTATAGCTATCCTTATCTCAACCAGCAAAACCCCTTGTTCCTTCCTATTATTGCTTATACTCTCTCTACAACAAAATTAGAGATAAGGGCAAAATAGTTTCTGCTGGGTATTGAGGGGGGGAGCGGGAGGGGGTGGAGTGGGTGGTAAGGGAGGGGGTGGGGCAGGGGGGAGAAATGAACCAAGCCTTGTATGCACATATGAATAATAAAAGAAAATGAAAAAAAAAAAAAAAAAAAAAAGCAGCTGTTCTGCTTTTTGTTTGTGGCCGGGACTGTGCCTATCTCGGCCTACAGAGAAAGCAATTAAGCCGCATCTCACCTTGTTTATATCCAGTTCTCCTAGGCTTTTCCTAATCCACTCTCCACAAATGTACATGCCATTCTTGAATCTTGTTTTTTAAACTCATCACTATGCTTTGTAAATTTATGTATGTTGATACATAAAGACATGACTTACTCATTTTACCTGCTATATTAATTTTCTGTTGTATGTTCATCCTTTATTCCCTATCACATACTCATCTTGTTCTCTATAGCATCTGTTTCAAACTTTTCCCACTCTATTAAAATGTGTTTCTCCTGCTGTCTTCACTCTGAGTGCCTTTTCTCAGAGGGTGGCTTTATTTTCCAATTCAAAGACAAAAGAGAAGCCAGGTATTAGTGGCTTACACTTGTAATCCCAGCTACTCAGGAAGTGGAGATCTGGAAAGTCACAGTTCAGGGGCAGCCAAGCAAAAATTTCCCCAGATCCCATCTCAACCAACAAGGTGAGTGAGGTGGTGTGTGCAAGTGATCCCCACTACTAGGCATAGGTAGGAGGATCACAGTCTGAGGTCAGCCCTGGACAACACACACTAGACCCTATCTGAAAAATAACAAAGCAAAAAGGATTAGGGATGTGATTCCAATGCTAGAACACTTGTTCAAGTGTGAGTCCTGAGTTTAAACTCCAGTACCACCAAAGAGAGAGAGTGAATGAGAGAGAAACTGAAAAGAGAAGGCACAAAAAACGTAGCCCCTCAACTGCCTCCCACCAAAATTATACATCACCTTCACCTGTGCTAGTCGTTTCCTTTTTCCCTCCTCCTGACCTTCATCACATTCTTTTCCCTACCTGTCTTTCCAGGACTTTCATTATTTCAATCACCCCACCTTCCTCCTACATCTTTAAATTTTTACTGCCCTACTGGCTCTTTCTCATCCATGTCAAATATTTTCAGGCCTTTCCCATCTTAAAAGAAAAAATGACCTTCAACTTCTTTTCCTCCTCCAGATACCTGTATTTTGTGCCCTTTGTAGCTGGATATAGTAGACAAGTTGTCTATCCTTGATAACACTATTTCTGCACCCCCTCAAATTCATTCCCCAACCCAGTGCAACATAGTGACAATCAACATGGGTTCATTTACTAAACATCTGTGGACCAAAGCATAGTGTTAAGTCCTTGGAGGAAATTCTCTCATTTAATCCTCTTACTGATAGTTATATTAAGGTAGATACACCCTGCTTTATTGGCAAACAAATAGGGTTAGAAATACTAAATATCTAAGCTAATATAATAATATTAAAAGGTAGAATTGCAGATTAAGCCCTGTCCATTGACCCTAGTCTCTAAGACCTCAACCCCTGGCATATTGCTTCCTGGTGCTCACTGCCAGGTTGGCTGAACAGCATTTTTCAAAGTCACCAATTACTTTTCTTTACTAAATCTGATAACACTGCAGTGTTCACCTATAAGCAATATTAGACACCTTACAAACTCAACAGGTGGTCTTGCTCTAGATTTCCTTAATACCATCTTAGGGTTTTATTTTTCCTGTCTCTGGTTTTTCACACTCAGTCCTCTTTGCAGTTTCCTTTCAAAGTGTTCTTCCTTAATTTATCCCCTAACATTGATTTTCATTGGGAACTGTCTAGAGGGGGAGTCTCAGGCCACATACACACCTGCCTTGGGTGACCCCTCCTACTGCTTTGTCTCAATCTGGTGGCTTCACCCAGTCAATTCCAGTGCATCTGTGAGATCTTGGCTTAAATGTCGCCTCATCCTGAGAGTCTTAATTAATCCACGGTCTCCAGATTAGTTCAGATGCCCCTTCCATAAGTTTCCCCTCCTACATCCCTTTCACACACATTTAATTAGCCCCTGTTGATCAGCTCCTAAAGAGAAGAGACTATCCCTGACTAACTTGCTGGCCTACTGTGTTGACCCAGAACATCTTAGCACAGATTGAATGGATGAGTGAGTTGTGTATTCAGAGGGATTAGTTTCTGAATAAAAGTGAAACAAATGTTCTAATAATTTCAGCTGCAGGATCAGCATGCAGACAAATCCTTGTGCCCTGATAGTGGAACCATCTCACCCCGACTTGGTCATCAATGTGGGAAAAGTGACTCTTGGTGAAGGAAATAGAATAAAGCTGCAGAACCCTCTGAAAAAGCAGAAGGAGAGTATTTTGCAGGCAGCTTGTGCCCTATTAAACTCAGGAGGAGGAGTGATTAAGATGGAAATGACAAATACGGATGAGCATCCTGTGGAGATGGGATTGGACGTGGAACAATCTCTGAGAGACTTTTTTCCATCTTTAGATTTGCAGGCTTTCTTTGAGAACAAGCAAGAAGGGAAGCATTTTTACATTTTTGTTAAATCTTGGAGCAGTGGTCCTTTGTCTGAAGATGGTTCGTCCAAGCCCCGTATTTGTAGCCTGAGTGCTTCGCTCTGCTATAGATCTGGCACCTCTACGCTTTCCATGGACTCAAGAAAGGCATTTGATTTCCTGAAGACCAAGAAAGACAGTATAAAATGTAGCCTGGTCAATGAAGGATCTCTACCTAGTAAAATTCCAAAAGCTGTCCATGAGAACTTCTCTGAATCATGTCCTGCTTTTCAGTTCTTCCAAAGAGACAGGTTTGAATATGATAAAATCATGCCTTTTCCTGAGTCTCAATCTATAGAGTTTAAACAATTCAATACAGACCACATTGAGAAATATATCAAAAAAGAAATTCCAAAGTACATCCCTGCATTTGCAAATGCTGAGGGAGGCTATCTTTTTATTGGAGTGAAAGATAAGACCAAGAAAGTCCAGGGATGCCCAAAAGATATTGTTGACCCTGACTCTTTGCGAAGAGTGATAGAAGAAGCAATTTCCAAGTTGCCCGTTGTCCATTTTTGCTCTTCAAAGCACAGGTGTCCTATAAGACCAAAGTTATTGATGTGTTTCTTATGGGAAAGTTACACAGTTATCTCTGTGCGATCAAAGTGGACCCATTCTGCTGTGTGGTATTTCAAAAAGCTCCCATTTCATGGATGGTGGAGAAGAAGAAAGGCGTCTATAGCCTGACACCTGAGGAATGGGTAGGCATGATGGTAGATGATGACCCAGGTAAGAGGCAGAAAACTCCTCCTTCCCTACTTCTTTACTTCCTCTTAGTGGGCTTCATTCTCTGTGACTTTGAGCTCCTTGAACCATTAAAATTTACTTTCCTAGGTCTCCATGTATTTTGGATACAGGAAAGTTGTACTGGATGAAGAGAAGCCAAAAATCAAATATTTTGTGAATGTTGATTTCCAGCCAAAGAAGTAAGGGGAAAATTAGGAATAGATTCCTCACTTAATATGTATTATTTTAAATCTTCTAATTGGAATTTTCTTCATAATAATCTCAATTTAGCATGAGACCAGCTTTGGGAGGCAAGGGCCAGCACTGGGGGAGGTATATTGAGGTTGAAGTCAGTGAAGATTCAGGGAAAGAAAACATGATGATTAGAATTTAAAAAGAGACCATGTTAAATTTCACAATAGTTTATGCAAAGAACTATTCGAGCATAGAAGAGGGATCATTTTATTGAGTGAGGAAACACCATTCAAGATTCAAAAAAAAAGAATTGAGGGCTGGCAGAGTGGCTCAAGTGGTAGAACACCTGCCTAGTGAGTCCCAGAGTTCAAACCCCAGTACCACCAAAAAAAAAAAAAGGGAAGGTGTGATAGTGTATGCCTGTAATCCCAGCACTGGGGAGGTAGAGGCAGGATGATTGCAAGTTTAAGGCCAGCTTGAGCAGCAAAGCAGTATGCTGTCTATATATTTTGAAAAGCAGGTCTCTTAATGGTAGAACTTTAGAAACCTTCACAAGGAGAGGATGAAGTGTCTGACTTCATGATCAAGTGAAATGAGATTTAGACATTGCCTTGTTGGTTCTATTCAGTATCAAGGGACACAATCACATAGGCTAGTTGTTGTAGTTAGTTCTTTTCTTCTTTCAGAGTTGGTCGAAGCTTTTGAATCTCAGCTGAGTCTATCTGACAGCCCTCCACGCTGCAGGCCGGTGTATTCTAGGAAAGGTCTGGAACACAAAGCCACCCTCCAACAGCATTTATTTCCAGGTACTAAAAAACAGCCAGTTTTTACATTAGGAAAGAGAGAGATAAATTAATACATGTGTTAAAAAGTAGCCATGAAAGACTCATTGCAACTCCAAGTGTGTAAGATGACAAGGCCACAAACCTCTGGGTGGTAGTGAAATCTGACTGGTTATCAGAAATATCAGAGAAGATAGTTAAATATGAAGATATCCAAACTCCCCCGCTCCCCCAGGAACTTAGAAGATATATTTCCCAGGGATGAGGCCCAAACACATTAGACTGTGGTCACTTGGAATAGTTGACCACCTCTGATTAGCTTGTAAGGAATGGAGGAATTATCGCTGTAAAAAGAACCCAAGCATTCACCTGGAAGAGTATAAAAACACAGAGAAATCATGAGTAATTTCTTGAAAGAGGCTAGTGAGGACATGTCACAAGGGTCCAAGGAATAGTTCAAAATAATTCAAGATCAGAGACAATGTGAGGTTACACTTCTCCCCCAGACTAAACATTTTTTAGCAGGTTTTTGTCTAGGCACTCCTACTTAGAAAAGAAGTATAGGTTTCTAGAGGAAGAAATCAGTTTGGTTAACTTCATACATTGAACACATTAAATGTGAGATCTGACAGTAGAATATGATAAAGAAATGTCCTAAATATGTCTAAACACATATCAAGGACCACATAATTAATATGGTAGGACTGCCTTAGTTTACTTTCAGATAGTTGATTTAATATCAAATATCTTTTAACCATTGCTTATCGGAAAGGGTTTTAAACATTGAACCATAAGAATTGTGAGGTGCAAGAGTAATAGCTACACATGGTTTTTATTCCTTGGGCTCAATAATTCCATTTTAGTTGGTGCCCTCTGCTCTCCATAAGATAACAAAAGGGCAACCTCATTCAGTTCACCAGATGTGTTTGTCCAGGGTTTTCCAGGCTCAGGAAAGACAACCATGGTCATGGGTATGGGTTAAAGAGAGGTGAACCAGAGGAGTAGATCATGGGGGCTTTATTCTTCCTTGTAAATGTAATATGATTCATACAAAATGACACAAGCACATTTTTCAAATCTTCTCTATTATCCCGGTGTCTAGTGTCACCAGGTCACTTGCGATATACTCCTGAAGCTCTCTGGAAGGAGCTGTGTTCCCAGCATGAAGGACTGGAGGAATTAATAAACCAGCAAATGCTATCTTTCTCCTGGGGAACTCTGATCTTCTCTAGAAGCTGGGCTGTGGACCTGAACTTGCAAGAGAAGCAGGGAGTCATCTGTGATGCTCTGCTGATTGCACAGAACAGCCCCCCTACCCTCTTCACTGTTTTTGAGGGACAGGATGCAGAGGGGCAGGACTACTGCATCCACACCGCCTTTACTTTGAAGCAGAAGCTGGTGAACATGGGTGGCTACACCGGGAAGGTGTGTGTCATGACCAAGGTCCTCCACCTGAATCCCCAGAGCAATGCTGAGTTCATGGAGGAGTCAGGCTCTGTGATGGATTACCCCTGGTCCTATCACCTGGCAGATGCCCAGCAGATGGAAGCCTTGCTGCAGGCCCTCGTGATTGTCTTGCTTGGCTTCAGATCCTTCCTCAGTGACCAGCTTGGCTGTGAGGTTTTAAATCTTCTCACAGCCCAGCAGTATGAGATATTCTCCAAAAACCTCCGCAAGAACAGAGAATTATTTGTCCATGGCTTGCCAGGCTCAGGGAAGACAGTCATGGCTGTGAAGATCATGGAGAAGATCAGGAATATGTTTCACTGTGACACAAACAGCATTCTCTACATTTGTGAAAACCAGCCTTTGAGGAACTTGATCAAGTAAGTAGTTGGGTCTTATGACTGCATGTGTTCTTTAATGTGGGTTTAATTTTTCCTCCTAAGACGCCTTTATTCTTGAGAATTACATGATAAAATTATCTGTGACTACAATGCTGTGTTCATGCAAGCATCATAGAGTAACTTCTCCCTTCATTTAATTACAGAAACCCTCAGTGTGTCATTTTCATTTTTCCAGGAATAAAAACATCTGCCAGGCAGTGACCCGGAAAACCTTCATGAAATATGACTTTGGAGAGATTCAACACATCATCATTGATGAAGCCCAGAATTTCCGTAGTGAAGATGGAGACTGGTATAGCAAGGCAAAAGCCATCACTCAAAGAGAAAAGAATTGTCCAGGAATTCTCTGGATCTTTCTGGACTACTTTCAGACCAGTCACATGCATGATAGTGGCCTTCCTGCTTTCACAGCCCAGTATTCAAGAGAAGAGCTCACCAGAGTGGTGCGCAACGCAGATGAAATAGCCAACTACCTAAAAGAAGTAATGCAGGAAGTCAGAAGAAATCCTCCACCCAACATCCCTCCTGGGTCCCTGGATTTATTCCATGAACCTAAATGGGCTCAGGGTGTTTCAGGCAACTTAGAAATTAGGTTCATGGACTTGGAGGATATGGTGATCTATGTAGCAGAGAAGTGCCAGTTTTTCTTGAGGAATGGCTATTCTCCCAAAGACATTGCTGTGCTCTTCAGCACAACAGAGGAAATGAATGCATATGAAGGCAAGTTTCTAAAAGAAATGAGGAAGAGAAAAGTGTCTCAGATCAACAGTGCATTCATTTTTCACAATCACATGTTTGACAGCATCCGTCGATTTTCGGGCCTTGAAAGAAACATCGTGTTTGGGATCAATCCCTGGGCAGCTGAGACAGCCATTTTCCACAACCTCCTGCTCTGTCTGGCTTCCAGGGCAAAGAAACATCTGTATATTCTGAGGCTTTCCGAGATGAATCTCAGTCTAAGATGAGATAAAGGTAAAATATTCCCTCTTTTCTGCAGTTTTAGAAAAGGGATGATTATTCTACACCAGAAACATCTTATTTCTAACAACCGAGCCATTGAGAGAACTCACTTCAGAGCTGTTGCTGTATTCTGTGAAAGGAACTTCCAAAAAATCTAATTCCAACTGGACACATTGACGAATACTTTTTTGGCCTTGATATACATCTGTATAGTGAACTTAAGTTTCTAAAAACTTCACTTTCATGTCTAAGTCAAAAGAGGATTGTTGATATTTCCTTCTTTGTGCGTTCTCAGAAAAGGTATTAAAACTTATAACTGTGCCCTTTTTCTCATTATGAAGAGTCCAAGAATTTGTGGCTCTTTAAATTTAACAAAAAGTAATAGGAAGTGAGTGCTGATTTAATTTAACTCAGTTAGTTAATCTGAGTGCTGAGTTTATGTCAAAAGTCTCATGACATCCCTGAAAATTAACAGTTGGCTCTTGGGAACTTGTATGAGCTGTCTGTAGCAAATCAAGGCAACTGAAGCTATTTCATCAAAATTTGGTGTGCCTTGTTCAACCGTAATAGTTTTAGAAGTAAAGAACGTTTATATTAGAAAAATTGAATAGTATATACTTTTCTTTTAGTTACTTAGTGGTTTTTACCTTGATATTTTACTTGATATTTATGTATTCTAATCAAAAAGTAATTCTTTGCAGTTTGAAGCCAACCCCAGGCAAAATATAGTTCTTGAGATCTTATCTCGGAGAAAACGCATCACACAAAGGGTGTCAGAGTGGTGCAAGTAAGAGTGCCTGCCTAAAGAAACTAATGCAGAAACTTTAAAGCAACAGAGGCTAATAGGAGAAGGGGACCAGGAATTAGAGAAAAGGTTAGTTCCACAAGAATCAACTTGGAAAGTAACACATATGTACATGGAAGCAATACTAGGAAATCTCCCTGTGTAGCTATCCTTATCTCAACCAGCAAAAACCCTTGTTCCCTCCTATTATTGCTTATACTCTCTCTACAACAAAATTAGAGATAAGGGCAAAACAGTATCTGCTTGGAAGTGAGGGGGTGGGGCGAGAGGAGGGGGTGAGGGGAGAGTAGTGATCCAAACATTGTATGCACATATGAATAAAGGAAATTTAAAAAAAAAGTGCCTGTCTAGCAAGTATAAGTCCCTGAGTTCAAACCCCAGTACTGCCAGAAAAAAGTAATTCTTTATATTGAATAATACAGCACTCAGTTTTGTTATTTTGAAGGGTCACTTTTAAAAGCAGAAAGGCACAATGATATTCATTCCCATGAAGAATAATTTCTATTTTATATATTTCCCAATTTATTCTCAAAGAGAATAAAACTCATCAAAAAATATGGCCATGAAGTGAAGAATGTTGCCATACCAACACTTCAACAGGAAACTTAAAAATTGTTATGAAGCAGCTGCACTTCAGAAAGCTATCATAAATCAGAACTAGAGGAGGTTAGATGAGTCATGGTCCAACAAAACTGTGAAATATAAACTAACCCAATGAAGAAAGGAAAAAAAAATGCACAATAATTTAGACATGAAGACTAGATTCCAAGATGCACTATGGAAAGCAGAATAATAAGCCTGAAAATATAAATAAGAAAAAACAAAAGTGAAATAGAAGAAAAGAAACAGATTTTTAAAAAGATTACCAAGAAGATGATACAGAGCTGGACCTGGTGGTGCATGCCTGTGAGTTCAAGGCCAGCCTGGGCTACACAGTGAGACATTCTCAAGAAAAAATGTTTAAAAAGAGATATATACAGGAGATAAACAATGGATCATATATTTATATATAATTTGATTTTACCAAAGAGTAAAATAAAACATAGCAAATATTTAAAATATTAATAAAATGTGTATGCAATAAAAAATCTGAATCTATTATCATAAGGACCTACAATGCATCTGAGAAATTTATGTCACCACAGACATAACCCAATACACCTGTTGGACTATGAAAAATAGAGATTCCATAAGCATCCACCCAAAAAGACTAAGTCACTTGTAGGTACAAGAGTATCAGGTTGCCATTGGCCTTCCCTGCAGAATGTTCCATACTAGAAAAGAGCAGAGATACATCAACCAAAGATCTCTGAAAAAGAAGGCGTGAATCATAGATATGTGAGGCAGTACTTTTCTACACAGCAAATGTACATAAGAACTCAGAGAAGATTAGTCTCATGACCCTTTCCTGAGGAAATTATTAGAAGATGTACTTCATCCAACTAAAAGATGACTGTCGAAATGTTGGCAAAAGGATTATCAAAACTGTTAGCTATAATTAATTGTATTTCTGAGATTGAAGACAAAGTCGGTGAAAAAGATGACAAATTAATACGTAAGTGGCATATTCTGTGACAATACAGAAATTACATGCCCAAGGACAGCAACCACAGAAGGTGAAAGTGTAGAAAGCTTTCTTAATGCCTTATAAGTCAGCTACAAAAAGATGACATTTTATACTGATAGCTATATTAATGAAAATTAAGTATGTTTAGGAGTGCACAGATAAACACTGAAAACTTTAATACAACAAAAAAGATGTTAGAGGACAGACAATGGTGGGGAGAGTCTAAAAGATGACTAAGGCTCATGGCAAGGAACTATCTAGAGAGAATTGTATTAACGTTTTGTTTGTCTACTTTATTTTCTCCCATAAATCTTTCTCCTGTCTTCTATATTCTTATTCCACTCACAAATTCTATCCACTACCTAGGCAAAGATTTTGTTATGATTTGTTGTTTTTTCCTACCCCATCCCCTCATGCCCTTACCTGCTAGCCGTAGAATAAACTACTAATCATCTCTTGATATTTGTCCTTTCCAGTTTCTATAATGATACCCATTTTAGGGAAACACATGGCAACCTGAAATATAAAACATTTCTCAGCCTCCCTTGAAGCCAACTGTGACCATAGGACTCTTAATTTGACCTAACTCAGTCTCTGCATTTGGATGATTAAATTTGGTCCAAAGTGACCTCTGTATACAGTGAACTGCAACCCAGCTTGCCATGCAAGCAAGTTGTAAGTAATATAAGTGTATAATCTAGTAACCAAGCATGTGATCCTCAGCCAATCATAGCAGCAGAACCCTCAGCCAATCTCATGCTGAAGGCTGCCAAATTATGCTCAATTAAGACAAATCTCAACTGTACCAATCAAGTAGTCTCTGTAAGGTCAGTTCATGTTTTTCTAGTTATAAACACAGCTCATCCAGTTGGAGGTGGGGGAATTCTAAACCATCTATACTGGTATGTTTTACATTACTGTAACAAAATAACTGAGGCAAACTGATTTTATAAAGAAAGAGGTCTATTTAGCTCACAGTTCTGGAGGTACAACCTTTTGGAGCTGCCAGCATTATCTCTGCTCAGCAGTGCCTGCAAGAGGGAGAGATCACATCACTAAACAGAAAAACAAACAGAGATTCAGAGATCATGGTTTGCTTTTATACCAACACACACTCTAACGACTCAGGGATCCCATGAAGCCAACCTTAATCCCTTTTCAGGACAGCTCCCCCAATGACCTACAACCTTCCACTAGACTGCCCCTTAAAGATCCCTTCCTTCTCCTTAACTGCCACACTAAGACTAAACTTCCAACACATGAACCTTTTGGGGGCACACTCAAACTATATCCAAACAATAGCACCTACTTTCATCTAAAATACTATCCCTTTCTAGAACCTTTTTTTATTCAACAAACTTTGTAAAATCTGACTGGTCTCAGAGTGATTTTTTTGTTTTTTCCAACAGGACCAAATTCTGGTTAACGATAATGAGTCCGAGTGATGTGTGTTTAACATTCAGGGGGTGTCCTTAAGCCAAACTTCTTTTGTTGTTTTTTTCTTTTCTTTTCTTTTTGTTTTTCTTCTAAGCTAAACTTCTTGAAGGTCATGTTTTTAGAGAAATGATACATTTTTCTATCAGCTGATTCTATTGGGCAAGGGTCTATATATAAATTAAAAGTGCCCCCAGAAAGTTCCCTGGGCTACACCATAGTTCTTTTTTATTTACTGTGCAGCAACAAACCAATTTCCCCTTCATAATCAGGATTGGTCATCTTTTCTGACTATTGAGCAGTGTGAGAAATGCAAAACAGTCAGAACAGCAGCCTTGGTTTACAATTTAATAGGACCATTACGATGTTTGAATATTGGAAGCTTCAAACCTACTGGGCCCAAGGTCACAGTGCTAGAAGCAAGAAAACCCCTAAAGAGGTTAAGATGTAATCATGAGATGGTCTGTTTCCACCTATTTCTACCTCCTTGGGTTTTAGAATGGTATTTTCTGGCATAGACTGTCTTCTATAGAGAAGAACTCTAATCTTCTAGTGATTATGTCCCAGTTGGAACTACCACCAATCCAGTGCAGACTGTGGCTTCATACTATAAAAAGCTAGCTGATTTTGAGTGAGGGGCACATGGCGAATTCTAGGACCTTGGGCCCATTGATATACCATTGGGGTTTACCATTGTGAGATACCATGTGAGTTCCTTGTTTGGAGCTAGTATTTATGCAATGAGTCTATGAATGGTGATGTTTGTAGAAGATTTGTGGGAGGGCAGGAACACCTCGGAATACGTGTTTATTCCATAAGCTGCCATGTTTCTGCTGGTCTCTGTAAAGACTCTGCATTGACTTCTTTTGTCAGCAGGGCTGAGCCCTCAGCAGTACTGGTATCCAGATCTTTCTTGGTAAGGGGAAGTCCATGTTTCTTAGCCCAGCATCCCCTACATTTCAGAAGTGTGGATTACACCAGGATTCCAGAATGTGAGCCCCAATTATAGATGACACTTCCAATGGAAACTTAAAATCTTACACAGGAAACATCAGGCTCAAATAGTTTCATTAACTAGGTTTATCAAACAAACAAGGAACTGATAATTCTATTCTTATACAAAATATTTCAGGGTATTGAAAAAAGAACATTTCACAAAAACATTATGAGGAAAACATAGGCTATTTTAACTATTAAACATAAATGCAAAAAGTTCTCTACTAAATGTTAGCAAATCAAATACAGTATATCAAATGTATTAAAATAATGTATCCTTCATCCCAGGAATGTTGTACACTTAATTATTTCAAGAGTATGATATGTACATTTATCCTAAAATGCAAGGCTTAGTTTAACATGTGAAAATCTATTAATATGATCCACCATATCAACAAATTGAAGGAAACACATAATAGAATTCTCTCTATAGATGCAGAAAAGCAATTTAATTTTTTGTCACATGTATTCAAGATGAAACCCCATAGCAAATTAGAACTAAAGGGGAGCTTCCTTTTCTTAGCAACAGGTGTTTTCAGTCAGGTGTCGTGGCACACAGCTATAATCCTAGCTACCAG